AAAAATAAAATAATTAAAATTGAATTAAAAAAATAATTAGTCAATGATAGATTTGTTAAAAAAAATTTAATTTTGTGGGGTCTTATCAATAGGCGATTTAGATTTAATAAATAGGTTGATTTTACTAGTCTAAGACTTTAAAATAAATGCGTGAAGTTCAATTATCGTAACTATTTTTGTGAGTTTAAAACATATTGCAAATACGATTAATATAGGTCTAAACTCAATAAACTCTTAACAAGAAGGGATTATAACTCAATTTTAACATGTACTATTCATTTTAATACTACTGATACATAAAGATTTTAATTAATGAATTAATTTAAAAGTAATATTTATTTTTTATATAAATTAGATATAAAAAATACATTAATTACATCTCTTAAAATATAAGAGATAAATTATTTAAAAGTAATAATTAGATAATTATTAATTAAAAAATGTGACCACAAATTAAAAAATTAAAATTGATAAATTTGTAAATAAAATTAAAAAATTTTAATCCGTTGACGATTTGATACAAAAAGCTACATAAACTAGTTTTTTTAATCCGTTAACGGTTTGGATTCTATCCGTTAACGGTTTGGATTCTAACCGCTATCCGCTAGTCTCAAACCGCTAAATAAAAATTTTACCAAATATTTTATTTGTAGCGATTTTGAAATATATAAATTTACCAAACACTTATATTTAGCGGTTTAGATAAAACCATTAACCATTACCCCAAAACCACTATACCAAACGAGATCTAAGTAGTACAAATATACTGTATATTTAGTACCAATGGCCAGTAACAAAAGGCTGCTAATTTTCGTAAGAATTATGCGTCCTTACGGTTTATAGTTCAGCCAAGCTTATATGGTGATCAAATACCAAGTGTATTTAACTAAAAAATATCATCATAGCCATAAGGTATAATTTCAAGCTTCAAACATTTTAAGCATGCAATTGGTACTAAGTACACATTACATTTCTAGCAATAAAAGATAAAAGCAAAAAGAGAAATAAGATATGATGATTAATTAAAGTAATAGGAGATAAAGAGAAGTTTTTTGTGTTATGATAATTAATTAAAGTAAATAATAATAATAATGTTTAAGTATGAAAAAATAATAATTATTTTGAGATATATAGTGAGACTCATAAAAATATTTTAAAATTGTTGATGTATCATTTTATATCAATCATTTTATAAGTTTTTTTGACTTGTACCTATAAAAACACTTTTTAAATATTACTTGTTATTAAAAAATAAAAATTAATATTTATATAATTAATTGTCTAATTAAAATAACTTATATAGTATAGATAATGAAACTAATGTTAATTTTTATTATTTTTAATATCAATTAATATTAAAAATATATATTAATTACATTATTAACTTTTATTCTAAAAGTTCATGTTAAAAAAAATTCTAATCTGAAGGTTGGTAAGACCCAATTAAAACTCAGACATATGAATCCACATTAAAGGTTCCGTCATCGCTTAGTCCATTTTTAAATTCTTCTTTTACGACTCATATGATCTTAATCACAAATTCGCGATGGTGACAAATTCATCAAATCTTGGAATATATTCATTCCAGTAAAAACAATTTTATTGTATTTTTAAAGTTAATTAAAATTTTAAAAATATAAAAATGAATATTAATTTCACTATTAATATTATGTAGATCATTTTAATT